CACACACAAAAACACCAAAACACACTCACATACATACACTCAAAATCAAGTCAGCATTCAGAAATTTACCTTAGTGGAAAAGTTTGGTACTGCACCCAAACAAAAGCTCATTTTTTGAGATATCAATTATCAAGATACCGAAATTTGGAACGCAACTTGTTTCAATCTATGGCTTTTATTTTCTCGCAGTTTTAGAGTAAAACATATTTTGGAAACTATAACGTAAAAATTGAAAATAGTATTTTTTGTTTTGTGCATGTTATGTGCATTTTTCATAACAATAAACTATAACTTTTTTTGTTCACTTTTAATCTTTTTTTTTTACTTCAGCAATAATCTGCCAAGTCTCTCCTTTAAAAAGACCAAAATTAAGTCTGTGCTCCAAAGCATTCGAGATCTATCTAATTATATTATAATTACTTCACTGGAATGGTACGAAACTTGGTAAAGGTTTTGGCACTTGCTATGTGAACACACACACAAAAACACACACACATACACACATTATGTGAGGCACATTTACCTCATTGGAAATGAATTGTTTCTAGTGGAAAAGTTTGGTACCGCACCCGAACAAAAGCTAATTTTTTGAGATATCAATTATCAAGATATCGAAATTTGGAACACAACTTGATCCAAATCTATGGCTTTTATTTTCTCGCAGTTTTAGAGTAAAGCATATTTTGAAAAAAGTATTTTTTGTGCATTTTTCATAACAATAAACTTTTTTTGTTCACTTTTAATCTTTTTACTTCAGCAATAATCGGCCAAGTTTCTCCTTTAAAACGAACAAAAGTACGTCTGTGCTCCAAAGCATTCGACATCTATGCCAGTTTAAGCAGGAAATTTCAGTTACAATCTCAAAAAATGAACAAATGGATTATAACTACTGCATAAATATATTTTAATACCATGTAATCTCCTAAATATTAAATTAAAAAAATGAAAATATTATCGATTCATTTCATTTAAATAAAACACAAATTTGGCCATTTTTGACCGCCACACAAGGGTTAAATAGTCCCTTGCATGTTTTTTGTGTGTTTTTTTAAAGTACTAATATGCATGCAGTCCCTCTAATGAGGTCATAAACCTGCATTCAAAATAATAATAACACAGAATATTATGCATGTCACACTGCAGGACACTGCTGTCAGTGCTTGAAATGCCATGTCAGCTACAAATATAAAAACCTAACCACAATACACGTTCCCGTCTGCTCTGTGCCAATGTCCTGCCATATGCCCACTGAAAGGGAACCCTTGGCAGCGTTTGCCAAGTCAAACACCCAGTCATGTTGCGTCAAGACAGACTCAGCAAACCACACACAAACACACTTTTGCTCAGATCAGACACTTTTTCTTCGACATAAATATAAGAAACATCATCTTTCCTAGCTCTGTGTGTGGCATCAAACCACTCTTTTGCTCAAGAGTACACAGGTATGAAACGTTAATGCGGATACCCGCTCAAATAATTTGATCATGGAAAATTTGATAAGAAATATTTGAGTTCATAATGAAATCACTTGAGTACAATTTGAGACATTGTCAAATGTGAGATGTAGGCAAATGCTGGGTTGTTTTAACCCATATTTGGGTCAAATATGGACATATGTTGGGTTATAAATGAAATGAACAATTTTAACCCAACTTCAACTTTACATTTTTAACCCAACATTTGGGTGTGTCCATATTTGACCCAAATTTGGGTTAAAACAACCCAGTATTTTTTAGAGAGTAGGGTCTTTTTCTCATGCAGGAGAAAAGAAGATAACTTCAGTAAAAGTTGTATACCCTCTCCATTTATTCTCTGTGCAGTCTGAGAGAAGAAAAAAAAAGAGCTTTTAAAAAGATTTTTCTTTTGTGAAAAGCCTGTAAAGGTCCTCAGTGATGGTGCACAATTGGGGGATCCCCAAACTTCCTGTCTCCCGTTCCACTTGCTCTGTTCCAGCTAATGATCCATAACTCTCTCCCCGGTAAGAGAATAGTGGATCAGCGCCAACAACATCAAGACACCAAGGCCAAGAACACCAGCAGACACCGGATAACATAACAGAATGAGTCCATTTCATCACAAATGTTTAGTTACGCACAGTTAACGTGCAATGTAAATATGATCTGCACAATCCCATAGTTAACTCAACATCACAGTTCTTCTCCTTGTGTTTACATAATGAACAGCCACTTTTAGTGCCTGTGGGGACCAGGAGACGCTACAGCGCTTATTAAACAACGGTTCGAGATGGGATCCCCTATATCAGCCTCAGAGAAGATGGCTTCACATGGATGTACTTAAGAAAACAACCCCAGAGAGATAGCAGATAAGGGGCTGGGGGAGGGAGGTCTGCAGAAAGGGGTTATTGCCTGAACTCATCGTCTGGCCGCTCGGGGGCATTCAGACTTGAATAAAATGGGGGTGTTGTTAGGGGGGTATTAAAAGCTGCTGTGTCTACATGCATATCTTAAATTATTTATCATGCAAATTTCTCCAAGCGTGAACCTTTAACGGATTCACCATTTACAGCCGATGCAGAATTCCATCTGTTGTGACGGACATCTGCTTGCACGACGCGACGGATCACGCATGTGCTTTACATGTAACGGCGAAAGCGTGTGACCTGTCTGGACCGGGATGGGTAAACACTGGACGTCCTGCACTTTTCTTTTTTTTTTTTAGGTTGTTCTAGTGTTAAGTATGTACCAGTAATGTTATTTAACATGCTCTTACTATAGGGTTAGGGTTTGCTTTGGTTGCATGTAATTAATTATATAATTAGTAAGTGTATGTAACATGTAACAAGGACAGTGTAAAATATTTTCGGATACTGTCAAACGTAGAAAGATGGGTAGATGTTTTAATAAATGTGACATCACTTATAATATACTCATAACTCAGAAAAGTTTGTCTGCCTCAAGCCTTCAATTTGAAAGCGGAAGCCCTAAGAAATGTGTTTGGATTCGTAATCTGTGTACTTTATAGGGATAGTTCACCCAAAAAAGTCAAAAAGTGTGTCGTTCCAGCCCGTTCTCATCCTTTAGCGTCACATAGAACGCTATATGACAAAATGGCGCTATACTACACACATGGCACCCTTTATCGTTAATATTCACACGAACCCAAGGCGTCATAAATCCTTTCGCGTAATATCAGACTACCCTACCCCACACCTAAACCTAACCATCACAGCGCGTGATATATTAACGATAACGGGTGCCATGTGCGTAGTATAGCGCCGTTTTGTCATATAGCGTTCTATATGACGCTAAAGGATGAGAATGCGTTGGTCGTTCCTTCGAAACACAAATAAAGATCTTTTTTGATGAAATCTTCATTGACAGCTACGCAACTACCACTTTGACGCTTCAAAAAGTTCATGAAGAGATCGTAAGACTACCGTAATCCATATGAATTGAGCGGTTTATTCCAAATTTTCTGAAGAGACTTGATCGCTTTACATGATGAACAGATTTAATTTAGACTTTTATTCACATTTAAACATTGATCAGCGAACATAAACAGAAGCTCAACCGAACCTGCTTGAACCTCATTGGTTCTTGCTGAAGCTCAAACGTGCTGCCTAAGGCCGGATTCACATATAGCGCCTAAAAACGCGTAGAAAACGCTGGGCGTGCCGCATTCTCCTTTTTCCAAAGCGCTAGGGCGGTTGCGCTCCGGTTGGTTCTTGTCACGTGACCTCCTGTGCGCTAATGGTGCGCTTGCGGCATTCTGAAAAGTAGAGATGTTTTTATCTCGATGCGGCTTGGAAAAAACGGGCGCGTCACACCGCGACCACGTTGCTTCCATTTTGAGTGCGCATACCGTGCGCCTACATTTGAAATAACGAACTTGAGCGCGCAAAAAACGCAATATGTGAACAGGCCCTAACACGAGAATGAACCTCATTGGTTCTTGCTGAAGCTCAAACGTGCTGCGTAACATGAGAATGAACAGCCTGTTCTCATCCTTTAACGTCATATGACAAAACGGCGCTATACTACGCACATGGCACCCTTTATCGTTAATATAACACGCGAACCCAAGACGTTATAAATCCTTTAGCGTGAATATGACACGCACACCCTACCCCACACCTAAACTTAGCCCTCACAGCACGTGTTATATTAACGATAACGGGTGCCATGTGCGTAGTATAGCGCCATTTTGTCATATAGCGTTCGATGAGAATGCGTTGGAATGAACCTCATTGCTTCTTGAATGATCTGTGTGGAATGAACCTCATTGCTTCTTCCTGATGTGTGAGTTGATGAATGTTTATGTGTGAATAAAAGCCTAGATTCAATATGTTCACCATATAAAGGGATCCAGTCTCTTCAGAAAATTTGGAGTAAACCACTCAATTAATATGGATTCGTTTTACGATCTCTTTATGAACTTTTTGAAGCGTCAAAGTGGTAGTTGCGTAGCTGTCAATGGAAGGGCAGAAAACTCTCCGATTTCATCAAAAAGATCTTCATTTGTGTTCCGGAGATGAAAGAAAGTTTTGGGGTGAACTATCCCTTTAAATGTATAATTGCAACATAATATCAAGAGACATGCTGCATGTTTTTCCTCTTTCCGGATACCGGATAACACAAAGAGAAATGCTCTCTTATAATCATGAAAGTGACAAATCAGTAACAGAATCAGAATCAGTAACAACCTGTGGCAGATCTTGTTTCAGGCAGCTGAAAATGATTTTCTTTTCTTTCTTTTTTTTTTTTTATCAGTATGAATGTAGAGCTATACATTTACTGGAGTAGGATATGACCTTATAAAAGCCACACTAAACACAGCAACATCTGCGAAAGCCACATGAGAGAACTGAGAGAGAATGTCCATTCATACTGACAGCAAGGACCTTAAATTCACCACTACACGGTTCCTTTTTTCGTAAAAATAAAAGGACCAATCATAAACGGAAAGTGGGCTATTAGAGACATGGTATTCATCAATACGCTCTCATAGATTCGCTTCAACGCTAACATCTGTTACTCTACCTGTTAAATTCTCCTGCTTGGGCCGTAATCCGTGCGGCGTGGAGGCTAAACGCTCCTCTCCGTGGGGCGAAACTTGAACTGCCACCTCCACAGGGACGCAGGCTCGCCTCAGGCCTGCGGGTGGAGGCGACGGTGGCAGGTCTGAACATTTGTCCATGCATAGGCGTCCTTGACACTGCCTGCGTTTGTGCTCGATGAACTCCAGGATGTCGGCCAAAGGAAACCTGGTGCGGCACTGACCACAGGTGAGGAGGTCCTGATCCCCTTTTGGGGTGGATGGTTCCGATCTGGGATGGCTTTCCCCGTCCTCTGGGATATCTGCCGTCACGGGCTCGGCTACGGTAGGAGAAACGCAGAAAGGGAGGTGTGAGATATGGCGGGATAACTTCCTGTGATATCCATCGCGCAAACCTGATAATGACTAGTTATACGTGTGCCGTAAGTGATGATTAGATTCATTAACATATAAATGGAAGAGGTGTTATATGTCACACGCATTCAGGTGTCATAGAGATGTAGAATAAATAAATGCTGATTTAGGCACAATGACATTCAAATTTGGGATTCATATCATATCTAACCACTATTGAAATGCTGACACTTCTATCAGAGGAATACTGACAGTCGACGAAAGGCAGATGAGAAACCAAAGACGGAGAGAAAAACAGTGGTTGCCCGGTAATGGTAAAGAGGAGGGGGTTGTTCACTTTAGTTGCGTGACCCTGTTCATTATCCTGCCAATCTCACGTCTTAATGAACCCAACACCTCAGAGAATCAAAAAATAGATTCTAATTTGACTGCAAGATGATTGGAACCCATTTAGTTAAAAGTGCTGGAATCCTCTGAACTGAGGTTAGCTATTGAGGGGAGTATGTGGGGTAGTTCCCAGAAGGACAGCCAGAACATATGAAAGAGCAATCAAAACCACATCATGCGTCTGAACTGGGCTGAGAGAGATTGTTGCCATCGGTGGTAGGTTAACCCTAATTCTGTGTCAGGTCACGTGGGACAAAAGGTGGGGGCGATGATATATGAGTTTCTGACGAAGACTGTAAAAAACATGCTTCGATATTTTAATCGATCCTCTTTTATGGCTCTTGTTTTTCTTCCAAGGCACGCTCAAGATCCTCAAAGCCTGAGATCGGATCATGCGTTGCACAAACAGGTGTAATTCAAACCTCTTTGTGAAACAACAGGAGAGTTTCCAAACAACATAAAACCATTCCCCATCCTTTGGTAATATTTCATCTTATTTAGTAGGCCTATTGCATAGACATTGTATACATGATAAACGCACTAAGACATATGGGTCAATAATGAGGCGTTTTTGTTGTTGTTTTGGTCGGGATATATTAAATTACTCAAAAATTATACCCTTGAGTATTCAAGATGTACACTTACTTAGCTTTTAATAGCGTTGAAAAATAATTTATTAAGAAATCATAATGAATAAAAATATATATCCGTGGCACTTGAGTTTTTAACTAGATCTTTAACAGATTTCCTTTTTATCGTACACGTGGCCCACATGCACTCCGAAGCAATGTTTATATAAAAAACACTGTATATGTGTATAGAACAGGAGATGTGTGGGTACACTTAACCGAGAGAAGGCTAAGACCAAGTTCAAGTTCACTGTCTCTTCTTGAATGGAATGGAAACTCATTTGTTCATTTTCTGCCCCCTAGCGGCAACTCGTTTCACAAGATGCCGTATCAGAGAACACGGTCAAACGCACATTAAATACAGGTAGGTTAAAACCAAAACCAACTAGACACAGTGTAAACTTTCACTTTCATGCAGATTTTATCATTTTTAATGGCCTTTAATGGTTTTGACACGCAACGCAACACTTGAGGTGTTTTGGTCGCCTCGGCGGGGGTTTTAACAGGTTTGACATGATAGATCCATAAAACCACATAGAACTTTCTTTCCCTGAAAAAAAAAAACCCTTCGTTATCTAGATTCCCGTTTCAATTCTTGAAAAGTGCCTTTCAAGTACCGAAGGAGGACGTTGGAGGGGAAAAACACTTTCTTAAATGTATAGCCTAGATCTGGTTTAATTTTTGTAAACAAACATTAGATGGCACGTATAATACGTTTATAATTGGCTTCAAATCACACATGTAATTCATTTAAAGTCTAAAATAAGTAAAAACCAGTTTGGGCTTTTAAAAGATCCCATGGAAGGGAATGTGAACTTAAAGGTGAATTTTCCTACCATATATATTTTTTAATTATTAAAAAGCTAATAAATCACATCTAATTTACTTTCATGCATTCATATAGCATCGTACATATGCACATAAATGCATCAACCTTCACGCGTTAAGAATCATAGCAAAGCGCAACTCAACATCAAAACGCGCTTCGTTCCGTCTTAAAAGACGCGTCTCCGGGAACTGATTTCAGTATTTGAGATTTAAAGCCAGAAAAAAAAAGAAAACTTACGCGAAAACTCCCGTTTGCTTAAGTGCTGGGGTTTGCCCTGCTTGCGGCGAGACATGTTGGACACGGTCTCAGCTGGGATCACATTGGGAAGAGCCAGAGTCTTTAGAGAGTCCAGGGTAAAAATCTTCTTCAGCGATGCATCGGGTATCCCACATGAACTATAGAGAATAGTACAGAAGAGACGCGTGTAGTGGCAAGACGCTTGCGTTGGGCTTCATGGCTTCTCGGAGGAGAACACAAGACGGGAATGGAAAAGTAAGCGAAGCCCCCTGAGCTGCTGCAAGTTCAAGTGCGGACGTGACGTGCCAGCGAACTTGACCGTCCAGAGGTAGATGATGGACATGGATCTGCTAAACACAGGAGAGAGAGAGAGAGAGACAGAGAGACAGAGAGTGGGAGGGGGTGAGACTTGTAAAAACCAATGATGGGCTGCATGTCAACTAGCCTATAGACCATAGACCCTAACAGCCAATAGGGAGAGAGAGAGAGAGAGAGAGAGAGAGAGAGAGAGAGAGAGAGTAGTGAATGCATAAAGGGGGTCAAAATGACCCTTTATTTATTCAAAGGTTTTTTTTTTTTTCAAATAAAATGCCTACGTTTTTTTATAGCATAATGAAATAATAATAAACAGTAGCATACACACATTTTAATTAATAATATCCTGCTACATCACAGGTGTTTATGTAATTTAAGCACATCTAATTTTTATGTTCATATTTATGTTTAGATTAATGACCATATTCCTAAATTAAATCTTTTCGCTGTTTTGCAAACTCTTGTTATTCAATTGTCATGCTGTATCCTGTCTTGAAGAAGTTCCCACATAATATGGACACTTGTTGGCTGCTTTTCATTTACTCTTCACATATAGGCACATACAGCAAGAGGCCATATATATATATATATATATATATATATATATATTGGGTTGTTTTTCACAAAATATTGGGTCATGTTGAAAAACGTTGGGTAATTTCTACAAATAAAGCTTTGTTTCTGTATTTATTCAAATAATGTCATAAATAAAAACGAATGGTTAACTAAACTGTGTTACTTTTAACCTAGCTGTTTTAACCCTATATGCATTGGGTTAAAGTTAACTCACAGTTGGGAAAGGTTCTATACCACCCATTTTTAACCCAACATTATTAAGTGAGTATATATACACAGTAGGTTATATATAAACAGTGAATCATCAGTTTAGAACAAAATATTATAGCAAATAAATCAACCTCAAATATCAAAATATGAAATTTACAAAAATCACATAGTTCAAATCCATTGAATTAAAATGAATGAAATCTAATAAACATTGATGATGAAATAAGGAAATACAGCTTATTTTCTATCTATTTATGCCAAACACACACACACACACACACACACACACACACACACACACACACACACACACATATTGGCCGCCTACGTTATTGACACATCATGTTGTGGGAGAATCATTCCGACTGTCGTCGTGTACAATTTCGCCATCTAGTGTTCAGTGGCTAAACAAACAGGCCATTCATTTCTTGTCTAATCAGAATAAACCATCATATTTATATATTTAAACCAAAGAAACATACCAATAATCTTATATACATTTTATCTTTTTTAATTGTTTTAATTTATTTATTTGGGACAGTGCACATTAATAAACAATCTTAACATTTCTGTACAGACTGTAAATGAGCCAAGTTATATAGCATAAATGCCAGTTTTGACCTGTAGGTAGTCCCGAGGCAGAAAGACAACAACAAATGATGTAACACAATAGAGCATGACGATAGCCTACAATATCAAGCAAGAAACACATTAGCACACATTCAGGCAGAATACATTGTATCAATGAAATTAGTCAAAATGAGGACATAACTGGGAACTTTTAAGAAGCTGTTTGAGGTTTATTTTGTTATAGATTAGGTTGCGTTTACAGACCTTTTTATTCAGCTCTTCATAACTTATTTGTTAGATATTGGGAAGTTTTTTTTTTTTTTTTTTTTTTTTAAATAAAAAGTTGCTTATATTTCCGTCCACAATTAATTTCTCATGTCTGAATATTGGCAAGCGCATATAAGCACAAACATAAGTTAAAAATCATATTCTCTGACCACAGGGAGCGCTTTGTCATCTTGTTGTTTCTTGACACCGCAGCGCCATCGTGCGTCAAGACGCGCAACTGCACCTCAGACTGGGATGGGCAGAGCAGCGCTTCTCCGCGCGCTAGAGCAGACGGATGTCATTTATGGAATAAATATATTGCCATTTACAAGGTAAGCACTGCGCTATGTTTTATATTCTAATCATATTTTCCATGAACATATCCTTTTTTTAATTTTAAAAGCAAATATTTCGCTTGATGGAAAGGAGTAATTGGCTGTCATGAGCTCTAGAGGCGACCGATCCGGCCTATTACGGACTAGATGTCTCTAACGGCGTCCGATACGTGATGAAAACAGTAGCAGTCTTATTATAACAAATATTTAGGCCCATGCGACGATTTGTAGGCTACTTCTCCTCGTGAGTGTTATATCTAGTAGAAATATATGCGGAATGTTACGTATTCAAGAACGTATTAAAATACGCGCTGGGTGTATAGTGAGCGACTGTCTCTTAGAATAAACATCAGATCTGGCAGTACGGGTACAGAACAAGGCCAGTGCTTGAAGGCAGAGGCGGAGACTGAGAGCCAAATGATGCGGTGCTTCTTTGGATGAGGATGATGAGGTGATTTAACCTTAACACTTCAGCTCAAATTTTTTTTGATTTGATTCTTAATGATAAGTAAGCTTCTTTTTATGACATAGAAATGTAATATTTTTATTAATGCTTTACAGAAATGAAAATGGAACAAGGCAGATGGATAATTGGTCTAATGTTTATAGTGCATGTTCTTGACAGGATCCCTTATTCATCTTATCTCTTGTAGATTGCTATACTGTCTTGGGTCATAACACTTTCCACTGTCCCAAGGTTGGTCACAATTCAGAATTTTAACTGGCTCCCTTTTCGAATCATGATTTGGAATGTGAACTGAATTGGCCTCATCCAAAAGGAAGCTGAATTCAAAATCTGTTGCAAGTGCACATTGATTACAGAATGATTGTAGGTAGCCTAAATATTCACTTAATCCATTGCTCATTTGTTCTTTGTGTTCTAAAAGTAGCCTATCGTGTTTGAAATAGGGGTGAGAAAGCGATTCAAACAATTCATTGTGTGAGTAAACTGTCCAAACAATTCAAGCTGATTCTCGGACCGAAAACACGGTTTATCAGTTCTTTTTACGTTTCTGACATCTTAGTTGTTGTGTAAAAACAGAGATTGTGGGTTTTAGGATCATTTTATTTAATTTTGAGTTGAGTTCGGATTAGCTTGTGAATCATTTCTGATTCGAGATGAGAAATGTCAAAAGAATCAGTCCAATTTGATGATGTGGTTCAAACGATTCACTGAAAAGAGCTGGATCAAAAAAACTCAGGACATCGGTCAGGCCTTTTGATTCTAAACAAGCAAAACTCGACTGCTTAATTATAGTCTAATTTTTAAATTAGGCTAATTAATACTTTTGATTATACTGGTTGAGACTCTCCTTACATCCTCATAGCAATCAATTATAGAAGTGATCTAAATATTAGAAAATATACATCTTCTGTGGCAGTCTTTTCAAGTTAGAGTACAACTCTGTAAGTTGTTTACATTTATTATTCTTATAATGTTATGTGCTTTGAGACATGAGGTAATTTAACAGTCTCTCACCAAGCTTTGCAGGTCTGGCTGTGTGTGTTCATGTGTTTCGGAGGAGGCATGGCTTTGGAGGCACTCTGAAGGGAGGGTGGGATCTCATGCTTTCAAAGCTAACTTGCTATTGCTAGCCTTTCTGCAGCCTACCCTACATTTAAATATTGTTTGTGAAAATTATTCTCAGGGTGGTATATGGTAATCTCCCTTGATAGAAAAAGGATTTACCAAAGATTTTCTGATGCTTGTGTCACAGTGAAATTTGTATGAATATTTACAAACTCACAACAAAAATGAAAACAAATATACGAGTGTATAAGGGAAATAAATGTATTCCAGGAGTAAAAGGTTACAATAAATTAAAGTGATAAAATGCTTCCTAAGTCATTTTTGCATTTAATATTGTCTATATTTAATAAGTAGTGCCATCTTGTTTAATTTCTTTTGTAAAATGTTCACATTTGGCTTAGCTTTAGCCCATTCACATGAATGTGATAGTTTCCGAGTAAAATAAATGTGCGATAATTAATTAATTAATAATTAATAATTAATTAATATTAATAATTTTTTGGTATTCTGTAAAAAAACAAACAAACATCATACAGATCAATTTAAATTTGGCTTGGTAAATCGACACCCCCCAGCCCCCAAGAGAATCTATTGACATCATTTCCTGTTACTGACTGCACTTTGAATTTGTTGTTGGAATAGGCCTAGTTCAGCGTCACTAGTTAAGTCTGAAGGGATAGTTCACCCAAAAATGAAAATTCTGTCAGTGTTTACTCACCCTCATGTTGTTCCAACCCCGCAAGACCTTTGTTCATCATCATTGAGATTTTTGGGTGAACTATCCCTTTAAAGAAAATACCCTGAATTCATTCTTTTTAGAGGGAAAAAAGGTCCATTGATAAAATTAGAGGAGTCAGCTGCTTGTCTGGTGCTTAGCAATAAATTATCCAATTTCATTAGGAATGGAGGAATTCACTATCCACATGGACTACACTTGAAATAATACAAACTTATATTATGGAAAGTGGAAAGTATAGCTCATGTCAAGCTATATAGCTTCATTGTCATATTGTCAAGACAAGGCTCCTATTCAGTATGTGTTTGTTGATAGTGTGTCTTTTACTACACAGTAGATACATTATTTATCCTCTATTTACCTAATACAGGATGAGATGAGCGTGTCTAATTTATTTATCAGTCATTGTTTGCAACAGCTCTTCACGGACCTTACAACAGAATGACCTAGAGAGAGATCAGGAAGAAAAGAGGAGGCCTACTTAAGTCAAGATGAGTTTGACATCGTGGTTCTTAGTGAGTAGTGGGGGAACAAGGCACCGCCTTCCCCGGGAAATGATCTTCGTGGGACGCGATGACTGTGAGCTTATGCTACAGGTAATTCAATCACTGTTACTCTCCATTTACTGAAAAAAAGTAAAGTTCTTGGCCATATTTCACAGAATGTGTTGGTGAATTTAATTTGTCTCATACATGGGTCTGAATATAAGAAACTAGGCCTGAGCCTGTGATGCTAGAGAAAACTAGGCCTGAATACATGGGGAGATAAAAAATATAGGAGAAGAGTAAACTTGAGCAAAGGGTATGAGAGAGAGAGAGAGACTGTCAGAAGATAGAACAA